CGAAACATGTTTGCCGGCCAACGCAAGATATCCCCACTATATGATGCCCCCCCCCCCTTCTAACCGGGCACCCCGCTTCCGCTTACAGTATAACTCACCATTTCTTTTTCTTTTGTCTCAAAGAAGTGAGACGCATTGACTCCGCTATCCTCACATATCATCTAATACAGGCACCGCCGACGCTGGTCAAACACGTTCGGGCTCTATTTTTCTGCGCTGTTTTAGTTGATTCAGTTTCATTCTTGACTTGATAGTTTGAAAGTTGTAAGCAAGGCGAACAAAGTTTATGTTTTGGATCTAAAATACCACTCTATCCCCACCAAACGACTGCACTTAATTGATTGTCCTTAGCAAAAATTTCGAAAGTCTTCTATCTCATAAATATGCACGGAAAACGGTTTCATTGGGACATTGGGAAAAAAGAATTGTATTTATTACAACGATTATTTCGAACCAAAAAAGCTTGCAGAAAACCAAAGTCAGATATTTTGTTCAGACAACATATTTGAAACAACAAATATTTTGTCAAGTTGAACAAATCTTGTTTGAGCGAAAAACAATTTTTCATCGTTTGACCAAAAAGCTCGTCAGTCATGTACCCAGAAAAAACAGTTTCTTGATTCAAGTGCAAGCTGACACAAGATGAAACTCACCATTGAAACAAAGTAATTTTGTCTTTGAAATAAGATTTTTCTCTTATTCTAAAGAAAATATCAGCTTGTTTCAAGAGAAATTTAATCTTGTATCAGCGTACACTTGAAACAAGGAAAAAATTACTTGAAACAAGAAACGATTTTTCTGGGTGTGATTTTGGTTCCCACAAAGTAACGGTTTCCCTGGGGTGTGGCCATCTCGGAATAAAGCAGATATGCTGTAATTTAGCTAAAACTATGGCGATAGGCTTTCCTCCCGCGCGCGGCCGCGGTATCGGTCCACCAGGTCCACCCCCACACACATGCGGGTCAGGTCGTCGCCCTGGGGAGCGCGGCGCGGGCCGGTGCCTGTCGTATCGGGGCGCAGTGCTGGCGGGGCTGGCGGGGCAGTGCCGGCCCCGCTCTGTACGTAAATTGCACGGCGGCCGCGCCATTGACAGCTTCATTCATTTGGCCAGGAGCTAGTTAGGCCGCGCGCTGACAGGGGACCCGCCCCGCCCCGGCCGCCGCGCGCGCGTGGCCACTTGCCAGGAAATAAAATGGGATCAAGGCTCGAAACAACGTGTTTCAATAATTAATGAGCGAGGCTCACGGGGCGGGGCGCAGCAGCAGCATCACCACCACCACCACCGCGAGTCGGTGAGGGGTAATTTTCAATACATGCGAGGAGGGATTATACCGATTTTCCTACCGGTCCCCGCCAAGCCCAGCCCTGTCCTCCTGCGCCGCGCCGCCGCCCCCGGCCGGCCGGGCCGAGCTCGGCTCATCTGAAGGCAAGTCTTCCGCATAAACGGGCAACTTTGTCGTCGCTCTGCTGGCTCGCTGCTAACGTGATGAGTTTGAGCAGTTGGTGGTGAGATTTATTGGCGGCCAGGCCACTTTGGCGCGTGACTCCGGTCGTGTCGACGGGGCGGTGGTGATGGCAGTGGCCTTGGTCGTGGTGGGGATGGTAGTAGTGATGGTGATCGGGGTGGCCGTGGTCGTAGCGGAGCTGCTGCTGCTGCTGGTTGTCGTGGTTGTTGGACAGCGCTAGCGCCGCCTAACACCACCGCCGCCCTTCTTGGAGTCGGCCGCCTTCTGCCACTCCTCCAGCACCTTGGCGCGCTTCTTCTGGATGGGCGTCTTGCTCCACCACTTGAGCCACTTTTTGCGCTCCTGTGAGTTAGAAGCGGGCATCGGGCGTCAGCTTTGCAGCCGCGGTAGATTGTATCGCAAGCAGAGGAGGGTAGTGCCACTCGGTCTACCTTGACGGTGGGCGAGTTGGGGTACTCCAGGAGCAGGTCGAGGATCTCCTGATGGCGCAGCGGCCGGCTGGCTAGGTGGATGCGTCTCTCCACGCCCAGGGCCCGCTCCACCACCTCGCGGATGGTCGGGTACGGCACCCACGGCGTCACGTGGGCCAACGGCGTCACCTGCCGACGTCGTCCAAAAAACCGATTTGCGTAAGGACAAGAAATGAGCATCGCTAGCCGAAAGTGAAACGCCTGAGGTCACCTCGAAGTCCCTGGCGACGGCCTTGTGCTGCATGATGAGCTGGTGCCAGAGCAGCGCGCGCGAGCCGTAGTCCAAGGGGGGCACGAACACGTGGCGCTGGTAGGCCTTGACGAGCTTGCGGCCGCGCGCGAGCCAGGGCGCGTTGGAGGTGCCCAGCACGAGCACGCGGTCGGGCCGCTTGATGCCCTTGACGATCTTCTTGAGCGTGCGCGCGAACTTCTTGGGCTTGAGGGCGCGCTCGGGCTTGGGCACGCGCTTGTAGTAGTTGCGGTGCGCGTCGTCCATGACGATGACGGTGGGCGCGAGCAGGCGCGCCACCTTGTTGACCGTGTGCAGGAACAGCTTCCACTCCTTCTTGCCCGGGTAGCGGGCGCGGGCGGCGGCCACGGCCTCGGGGGTCAGGTCCATGCGCAGCGCGCCCGTCTCGGTGCAGACCACGTCCGCCAGCAGGCTCTTCCCGCACTGCAGCAGGGCACAGTGACACACACACGTGACTAGTGTTGTACGATATCCAGATTTTGGTGTCGCGATACGATTTCGATCAAGTATCGAACATCGGCTCGATAAATTAAGTATCGATAATATCGAGTGATATCGCAATATCGATCGAACCATATCGAAAAACGATGTGTCTGAAAGTAGACTATATTTCGATTTTGGTCTTGAGAGAATATCGAGCCCTTGATATCGGAGTATATCGTATCGATATCGAAATATCGCGATATCGCACAGGGGCCAGGAGAAGGGCTAAGTGGACGCGTGGTGGTTACCTGCGCGGGCCCGGCCAGGAGCACGGACTTGACGAGCGGCGCTAGCTCGTGCGCGCGCGCCGAGCCGAGCGGCAGCACGCAGAACTCGCGCACGGCCTGGCGGATGTCGCCGAGCGCGGGCAGCGGGTCGCCGCACCGCTCGCGCAGCTCGAAGTTGGCGTAGGCGGGCTCGCCGAAGAAGTCCTCCATGCGCGCCTCGCGCGAGTTGCGCACCACGCCCGCGCGCACCAGCGCCTCCAGCAGCTCGTCCGGCGTCTTGTCCGCCGTCGGGTCCTTCTTCTTCTTTTTGCCTCGCCTTTTCCTCTTGCCGCGCTTCTTCTTCTTCCGCTTCCCCTTCCGCCGCTTCCGCCGCCCCTTCCGCCCTGCCGAACGAGGAGGGGGACCTGCTGTGACTTGGGGGCCACGTGGATAGGCCACCCGCCCGAGTACCGTGGCCGCCCGTTGCCTAACCGCCAGGCGCTTTCCCTACTAAAATGTAAAAAGGAAGCTTACCCCTTTCCGATTCAAAACTGTAAGTACAAACAATGAAAATGCGAACACCAAGCTACCAGACAGTTTACTGTGATAAAGTAAATCATCTTCTGGCCCAACTTGTAAGAATTATTCACCCCCCGCTCCCCCCATGAATCCCTTTTTAAACCTTAAAAAAAACTCTGATTTTCCTCCGCTCTGCTATGCGAACACTTACGCTTGTGCTTCTCCCTCCACACGGCGTCCTTGAGCTTCTCGAGCTCCACGCGCATGAGGTCGTCGATGACCTGGCGCAGCTCAAACTGCTTGGCGTGCACCTCGTCCACGCGTATCAGGTCCGTGTAGGGGTCCTCGGACGGGTTCTCGTCGTCGGGTCGGACAAACTCCCAGTCCTGCGAAACACGAGAAAACGCCCGCAAATTAAATTTGGAGGACTGGTTTCGTTTTCGCCGTAAGTGTGTGGGGTGTGGGGATCCACCCACCACGCGGTACTCGCGCTCGGCCACGGCGAGGGCCGGCATGACGGCTGACTCCTCGAGCTGGAAGCCCGTCAGCTTCTCGGCGAGGTGGCGCTGCTTCTCGGCCCGCTTGGCCTCGCGCCGCTTCTGCCGCTGCTCGCGCTTCTCCTCCCGGGTCAGCTTGGGCTTGCCCTGGCCCTTGCCCTTGCCCTTCTTGTTCCTCGCCAGCAGCTCGGCCACCTGCTTGAACTCGGTGCTCGTGCACCAGAACTCGGCCGTCACCAGGTTCGAGCCGCCGAGCTTGCGTGCTGTAGTAGTAGTAGTAGTGTAAGGTTGGTCATACAGGGTGGTGAGACAGTATAAATACATATTTTTCTCGAAATTTGACTGTGGATGACTGAAAGGTGCAAATTCTTGTAAAACTACTCCAAAAGTGTGCGGAAAGGTCTTCATTATATTTGGTTAGTTGAAGAACAGTAAAAGTTAAAGCTTGGTAATTTTCATATATAATTTTGGAGAATTTGTCCCTTATTTTCACCCCCCCAAAAAATTGCTGTGCGAGTGGCTTGGCTTACGTGGTATGCCGGGGAGCGTGGGGTCCACGTCGGGGAACATCCCCTTGGGCGTGCGCTTGGGCAGCCCGAGCAGGGCGCCGACCAGCTTGCGCTCGCGCTCCGGCGGGTACTTGGGCAGCTTGAGCACGTCGTACCACCAGCTGCGTATCCACTCGCGCATCTCGTCGCCCAGGTCGTCGAAGATGTCCGGGCTCAGCTCGCGGTCCACCCACTCGTGCTCGCGCGCCACGGCCGCCTCGTAGGCCGCCTGCAAGTCGCGGCGCAGCGCCCTCCGCAGCGCCCGCACCTCCTCGACGCGCGCCCGGTACGAGTAGTCTACGGCCCTGGGCATGAGCATGCCGATGAGCGTGTCCTCGCGCTCGCGGTACTTCCGGACGCGCTTGCGCGCCTGGTGGCCGCGGACGTGGCGCTGCAGGGTGACGGCGGCGCGGTCCAGCGCGTCCGGGTCCGGCCGGTCCTTCTTGGCGGTGGGCTGCTGGTAGCGCTGCTGCATCCAGCGCCGGCCTGGGAACCATTCGAACGTTACGAGGCAGTGGCAATACACCACGTTGCTGAGGGCCACATCGAGAAAAAAGTTATCCGTAGGTGCGAAAATTACACTTAGAAAACGGACTAGTATAGCTTCGGGTCCAGAATTCATTTTGAAGCAACATGTTTTTAAAGAAGGCTCATTTTTATGGTTCAAGAAAAAATATTTTCGGCTTAAAGCAAATATTCTCTTGTCCATTTTTAATGAATAATTTTCTTATCCATAGAAAATTTTCTTGTCAGTGTATCTGGATTGCCAAATTATCTGACGCTCTCTTATTTTTAAAATAGTACGCAGATTCACAGGCATCGTCTTACGGTTGAACGACTGGATCCGGTTCTGGCGCGCCCGCTCGTGCGTTTGGATGAGGGTGGTGGCCTCGCGCAGGGCGCGCACCTCGGCCGGCTCCTGGACGGCCACCTCGTGCTGCTCGGCCAGCAGCTCCCGCATGCGCCTCGCGCGCGTGCCCGCCCCCGCCGCCGGCTCCTCAACCCCCGCCGCCTCCACCGCCACCGCCTCCGCCGCCCCCGAAGCCGCCTCCGCGGTGGATCCTCTCGCCGCCTCCTCCGCCATCTTGGCTGCGCAGGGTCAGCGGCAACAAGGGTCTTGTATGAACTCCTTCCAAACTCCCGCGGCCGGCCGTGTCAGACACACGCCGGGGCTGTGGGGTGAGCCGTTAACTTTTCGCCAAACGAAAAGGGAAGAAAACATGAAAGATAAAATGGAATGAAATCGGGAGGTGGCAAGAAGCAGTTGGGGGGAGAGGAGGGGGATCCCCGAGAGTCAATCACACAAAAATAACAACATTGACGCGATTTCCCTCTCCTCTTTTTCTGTCTTTTCTTGCCTCCCCTCTCTCCTTGCTGCGGTTGCATTAGATTGGCTTGCTCAGGGTGTGGTGCACCGATTGAATCCCAAATTCCCCTGCGGATCCAGGCCGACCGACCCTCCCTCCCCCGCCCCAGTGGCGTATCACGTATCCCTGCCACGCAGAGGGGTGTTGAGATTGTGTTTAAAACTCGGAATTTCCCCCCTTTTTCCTTTTATTTTTTTCAGAAAAGAAAAATGACTCCTCCTTTTCTTCATCATGCCCTTCTCCACTGCCCCTCCATCCACACTGCCCCTCCCCTCCCCCTACTGTCCTTTCCCACTGTCCATCCCTACTGTCCATCTCCACTGTCCATCCCCACTGTCCATCCCAACTTCCACACTGTCCTTCCCCCCGGCTACGCCCCCCGGGTCCCCGTCCCGCACCCACCCTGCACCCGATCGATGAACTCCCGTCGCCGCTGCAGCTCGAGCTCGTTCTCCCAGCGGTAGTATCGCGGAGCGGGGATCTCCAGGTCCTCGTGGGTCAGCCTCCTCTCGATCAGCAGGTCGTCGATATAGCTGTACACCGGAAGGGTTGGTGTAGAAACTACAGAGATCATCCAAGCGAAGCGGGGGGCTGCTATACTACGCACTGGAAATTGCTCTTGTCCAGCTCCGTGTACAATTCGTGCTTGAGTTCCAGGAGACGGCCAATGCAGCCGTCCAGGAGCCGGCGGATCTGAAACGATTTATTTGTTTTAGCTCGATTGTGCGCGATCGGCATCGTATGTAAATATATTATGTCGGTAACTGTCGTGAGAGTCCCGACCAGGAGGCGCTTCTGCGGCTGCACGATCTGGTCGTGGCACTCGTCGAGGGTGCGCGTGATGCGGATGTAGTCCGCGTACAGGCGCAGCACCCAGCCCAGCGAGCCCCGCTTGTCCGTCTCCCGCTGCCGCCGCTGCAGCCGCTGGTCGCGGGCCATCAGCTGCCGCAGCTGCAGCTGCGCCTCGCGCCACATGGCGTTGTAGGTCGCGTGCGACATGGCGCCGGACAACAAGGGCTGCGAGGTGGGAAATTTTAAATCAAACAGAAATTTTCCTTTTTGAAAAGAGTAAAAGATGTATCGATGAAAACGTTCAGCTTTGTCACTAGTTTAAGATGGCGAAACAAATTCAAAATGACACGTCAGTTTTGTGCTTACCGCGCTTGTTAAGGAGCGAGTCGAGCTTTGGCCGCTGCCTCCTGGCCGCCCGCCTGGCGCAGGCCCTGCCGGTGGTCCTGGTGCCCCTCAGCCTGCAGCCCGGCTGCTTGCCCGGCTCGTGGTGGTGGTGCTGTTGGTGACGGCGGCGGGAGCATGCCATGGCCCGTCACAGGCCGTCAGGGCGCGCGTCGCGTGAGCAGCAGGCGCTGGCGTGTCGCCCGCCACCAGCGCGCCCGTTGGTCAGCGCCGCCGCGAATCTACATGCACAGGGCGTAATTGGAGGGGCTCTCGGCCACGCCCCGCCGGGCCCCGCCACGCCCCGCACTACTACTACTCACCGGTGTCGTTATGGCGTCCCCGCGGCCTGCACTCTGCAGGTGGCCCTCTCTGAGAGAGAGAGAGAGAGAGAGAGAGAGAGAGAGAGAGAGAGAGACAGACAGACAGACAGACAGACAGACAGACAGAAACACACACAGTCAGACAGACGGATGCACAAAAACTACGTAATTCGGGGTTCCGAATGACAGGTGTTTCAATTTGCATGCACATGTACTCACTGTATAACGTGTGTCCTTTTTCATTCGTCTTCCTGTGTTCTGTTTTCATGTTTTTATTTTT